TTTAATTAATAAATAATATAAATTTCCTTATATCTTTGTTATTGGGAAACCGAGACTGACTCCTCTACGATATTAACTTGTTGCGAAGTCAACAATATTTTCTAGCATTTTTTTTTAGCATGTCCATTAGGAGGATTAGGAAACGGCCGGTAGTTCTATTGGCGAGTCCTTGTCTTTTCTTGCCAATTATTTTGATCTGTTTCTTGACAACATAGATATGATACTGCTCTTGCATACGTAACTGATAATCCGTTGCTATAGACAATACTCAATAACTGTGCCCGAGGTGAATTGTTGCTCCAACATCAGACAATCCATTGAAACTTTACTTGGACTTGGTATATAAATAGACATGTTTCACTTTTTTTTAGTTAATCGAGAGGCTCATAGATTTTGGACTGTAAAATCAAAAATATTTTTTTTATTAAATAATAATAAATAAACTAAATTTATTAAAACTTCAATCTATTTTATTAAAAAAAATCTACTGATATAGAACCATTAGATTATAGTTGTTTATTTATATAGGTTTGATATTTACCTAACCGGCAACTACAGCATTAGATAACACCTATAGATATTCACTTGGTCACTGCATAAAGCGCATCTACTTATTGTCCGGCTCTAGTTTATAAAGTGCATTGTTAATCCCTTTTATCTTGTTTGTTTTTTCAATAATAGGCACACCAGTTAAAGTTCCATGGTATAACTTTAAATTATTTATCACTGAACTCTCGTGATATGTCATTCCAAATAATTAAGACAAAATACTAATCCGTGCTGGGGGCAGGCAGCCAGGCACAGGATATTTTATAATCTAGTGAATATTTAAGTGAAGTGAGCGTGGCAAGTGGCGAAAAATGGGTCGAGTAGTTGACAACTTGGGAAACTACAGCTGCTTCTGCGTTTATCTTGAGTGTTGCAGAACCATGTAGCGGCGGAATCTAACTCTACTTCTTCCGTAGGCCAAAAAAAAAAAAAAAAAAAAAAAAAAAAAAAAAAAGGCGACTCTTTATTTAAAGTGGAGTTTGGCCTTACTTGAGGAAATCAGAGATCATTCATAGATCACTAATATCTCCTGAAACTTTCTGAGTCAAACCCACAAAGATAATCGAATTTTCTTTCTTTGTTATTTTAGGTCACGATTTAAGAACATCAAGAATAAAACTCATGCCAAAACCGTCCAGATTTGCAAATCTTCTTGACTAACGGGAGTTCCCTAGCTCAAAGCCCACAAACAGTAATTAAACTCGAAACTCATTTTTAAATATTTGTGTTCTAAACCCACAAAGATTTCTCAAATCTCAATCTCCTCTCTAATTATGTAAATGGAGCAGCAAATATTTAAAAAAAGATGCTTTAATGATAAGCAACAGCATTTTGATTAGGAACAGTAGGCAGCCGGTGGTTTGATTGGAGAAGATGGATGGTGGGTCTTGAAGAGGGACGGACCAAAAGTTCATCGTCAAAAACTCAAGTTCTTAAGGTAATCATAGACAATTTTTGAAGAAAAAGTTTTGGGTGATGAAAGTATTAATTAATGTTGTACCGTTACGGAGACTTCTGACAAGAAGAGAATTGCTTCTTCTTGGCTTAAAGAAACGAAGAGAAAAATATAAAGGTTAATTAAATTATGGATTTTAATTTTTAAATGTTTTTCTTTAAATTAACAACAAAGTGTTTGAAACGAAATCGTTTTGTGATTACACTTAATGATCAACCTAATTAATTTTTACAAATAATGAAAATTAAAATATTTGAATGAAAATAATTTAAAAATCAATATTTCACTATTCAAATTATATAATTTAATATTAAAAATTCGAAACTTTCAAAATACAATAGAATGGAACTAATTTTTGTCATTAAGCCGTTTCCTTTAGTTGCTGCCGATCTCATTCAAAGTTCCAACCTCGTGGTCGCGGATTTAAATTGACCATAAAAACCTTTGTTTTTTTTTCCTTTCAGACAGAACCGCGGAAACTTGATCTTACCTGCACTTTTTTGTGTTAGGATAAGAAGGCGTGTTTTTTGACCCCTACTTTCTTTTAAAAGTAAACCCAAGTATGTTTCACTAAAATCACCATCTTACTGTATAAGATATGAACAATAATTTATATTTGCAACAATAAATTTCTTTTAAACAATAGAACAATAAAGCTCAACTCATTAAATACAACACCATTTAAATAGAATCATATGTATGAATAGATTGAAAATGATTTAAGAAAATGAAACGAGAATGAAAATTCAAATCACATGCTTCCATTTTTGCTGATCGAGCACATTTCTTGCGCTAGACGAAGAGATTGCTGCTATCAGCCTATCACTATCGCCGTCGTCGTCCTCTCTCTCTCTCTCTCTCTCTCTCTCTCTCTCTCCGTCCTAGACCAACTAACTCAACGTTTCAACAGGTGGAATGTTTCCCATTTTCGGAAGTCGTGATTGCCCGCTATGACTGTTTCCAATTATTGTGATTATTATATTTTAATTCATTGCATCATCAACTACCTTGATCGGTGCAATTTGCCAATATAGAAATGACAACATTATTGTGGATTTGGCGTGGAGCATACAGATCTATTTGTTTTCGCTCCATATAGCTGTGTGGAAAAGGAAAGATTTACGCTGCAACATAGTCATCCGACAACTAGGTCTCCCTAATACAATTACAAATACAAGCATGATTGTTATTATATGATAAAAATAGAAATTTTATCAAGATAAAAAAAAAAAATCAATAAACGACGTGAAAATGAATACTTGGTGCATAAAAATATGTGTCAATACTATTGACAAGAGATGGTAAAAACATAACTCCTTACAACATAATAATAATAAAAAAAATGAAACCACTATTCTTTACTTTAAGAATTATTGTTCACCAATTAGAGTTCTACTTCGATAATAAAAATGGATATGCTGACTACGTACCCAATAAAAAAAATTAAAATCAGTAGAGGCAAAAACAAAAACTCTACCTAACCCATAATATGTTGTTGTTGTTTCATTATTGTTGTTATTATTATTATTGAGCATTATAATCTGTTAGCATCATGAGGTATCACAATGAGTATATGTGCATATTACTAAAATAGCTTTCAAGTTCATGATTAGAACTCCGCGCAATTTTGTGGCTTTGAATCAATATTTCCGCTCGATTTTCATGTAAAAATTATATTTTAATTTTATTTGAAACTAATGAATTTGCAAACCGATCAAGTTTGTACTTTCAAAGTAAAATACTTCATTTCTCAACCAATTATATTTTTTATTGACAGATCAAAAACAAGAAAGGCAAGGAATATGAATTATTTCATTTGATTCTCAATTTAAGCGCCAGCGAAACAAGACTCGGAAGGAATTAAATTAGGTCCAGGTTTGATGAATCCAACTAGAATTAAACCCAACAGGAATTATACAAAATCTAACCTGATGAATTTCATTTAATGTTAAGCAAAGGTAAGGGATGGCAGAGGGGAAAAAAAAATCTACCTAACCTGAGGCATGCTAGCTCGTGTTGCTGGATTTCTTTTCACGTTCATAATCTAAAATTTAGAGCCATATTCGTGCTTGTCGAATCAAAGTTTTTATATATAGTGTTTGAAGGAAAAAAGAAAGAAAGAAAGAAAGAAACACACTCAATTTATTCCAAGGAGGGAAAACCCACAATCACTAGAAAGGTTAAAAATAAAATAAAAATATAATTTTTCTGTCAAATTCATGTGAAAATTATATTTCAATTTTATTCGAAATTAATAAATTTGTAAACATAAGTTTTAATGCCATTAAAAAATATAGATAATCGATTTTAGAAAAGGTAAATTACTTCCAAGGCCAACAAATCATAATTTTTTTATTTTTACTTTTTTATTTTTATGGACAAAACAAAACAAGAAAAGAAAGAAGGAATTTGAACTTGATTTTCAATTTATGAGCTAACCAAACACAGTTCGGAATGAATTTAAAGCTCCTAAAAGCTAGAATCTACCTCAACTTGAACCTATCATCACTCACTAGCCACATAAAGCCATGAAGTAATTGCATGGTAAAACAAATATAGTTATTACTGCTACTGAATATTGATGTTCTTACCCACTAGACTGGGGGATGGGGGGAGGGTGGGTAATAATACCACTACTTTTCACCACGACGTGTTGTAATAATTAAGAGAAAATAAACCCGATTGAGATTAGGATTATGATAGGATAATCAGGATTGGACTAGTAGACAACTTAATCGAAAAATAGAAGACAACACTAGTGCATAAATATACATAAGTGGAAGATCTCTAATTCTCTTGTCTTTTTTAGTTTTCTAAACTGATTTCTCGTTTCTGATTAACCTTTTAGATTTCTACTCCTTCCAATTTCGTAAGCCTTTCTTTTTTGGCTCTTTCTAGAAAGAGTAGAGAGAGATGAGGAAACGATGGCATAAAGCCGTGGATGATGATGAATCAATGGTGTTTTCTTTTTGGGTCTGACAGACTAGAAAAAAGAGAACAGAGAGAAGCAGGTGAAATGAGGTGCCCCTCCTAAACCCCACACTACTAAATCACTTTTTTGTTTGCTTCCTTTTTGTTTATCCTCGTCCTTATATGATATTATATTATATTCTACACCTCTCTTAGTCTTATTTATCTCTTCATTTCCATCTCTTTGTTCCCTCTTCTTTCTAATTGTTTTCTAATGCTATTTTCAGTGCAACAGTATTTGCTCAATTGCTTGCTATTTTCTATGCACTGATATTTGTGTGTTGTTGGGGTTTGCTTGTTAACAATTTTTTTTCCCTATCACTTGTTTTAATTGTTTTTACTATAACTTATTGGGTATTAAAATTGGGATCTGTGTTTTTGGATAATGAATTAATAATGGTTTTTTGTTATTTTTTGTCGGTTTTCAATATCTTGACATATTATCCTTGGGTGGAATTTAGGATATTGCCTGAAGGTTTTTGAGAGATGATAATTGTTTGTTGTTGAGTTAAGCTTTGGTGCTAAAATGGAGATTTTGAGTGAAGAAGAGGATCAATTCTTCGACACTCGCGAGGATGTTACCTCTGTATCTGATTCAGGCTCTGACTGCCCTGAAAAATTGGATTCTGACTCTGGGGTTATTGGTTCTTTGCCTGATTGTTTTGGCTATGAGGTTTGGATTAAGAATCCAGGTTGTATTCGTGAAAGGCGCAATAAATTTTTAAAATGGATGGGTTTGGATGTAGATCAAACGGGGAGGAGTGATCCTGGGGATGCGTCTTCCAATGAAGTGGAAGTTGAGACAGACAGAATTGTGGAAGATAGTGGTGCAGTTCTAAGATCATATAGTTTCGACGATGGGTTTTCATCGAGCCATTCTTCCATGTCTTGTTGGTCTAATGATGCCAAAGAGTTGTTAGATGGGGCACTGAAGGAGGATTTTGTGTGCAGGATTAGGAATTTGGATAGCGGAGCAGAGTTTATTCTGGATGAACTTCAGCAGGATGGCATGTCAGGGAGAATTCGCGAGGTTGGTTCGAATCAGTTACTCACTGTTGCTGAGTTTGAGAGGAATCTGGGGTTTTCTCCTTTGGTTCAGCAAGCTATGCGAAGAGAAGTTGAATATGTTCCCAATCTGGGGCTAGCTAGAAAGCAGGTAAAGCTGGGATGGTTGAGGAGATTAGGTGTTGTCGCTTGCATTGTTGATAGGCAAGCGGAAGCTGGTGGTATCAAATCCAATGGTCCTTACCCCGTTGCCGGGGCTAGGAATCAGATAGTTAGAGTTAAATCTTATAAGAAGAGGTCCAAGGAATTCTCGGCCCTTTACATAAGACAAGATATTCCAGCTCATGATGGTTCAATTTTGACTATGAAGTTTAGTCACGATGGTCAGTACCTTGCAAGTGCAGGTGAAGATGGAGTTGTGCGTGTATGGCAGGTGATGGAATCAGAGAGACCAGATGAGTTTGGCATCCTCGATATTGATTCTTCCCATGCATACTTTACGGTTAATGATCTTTCTGAATTAGTTCCCCTTAATGCGGATAGAGAGAAGAAGGGTAAATTCAAGAGTGCACGGACATCAGACTCGGCTTGTGTCATTTTTCCTCAGAAAGTTTTTCAGATATCAGACAAACCAATCCATGAATTTTCTGGGCACTGTGGAGAGATCTTGGACCTCTCATGGTCAAAGGACAAGGTTAGTAATTGCTCCAAAGCAATTAACTTTTTCTTGTTTGCCAAATAAGTCGTGTTTCTTATTGCCCTGTTACCTTTGCAGCATCTGTTGTCATCCTCTGTTGATAAAACTGTTCGATTGTGGCAAGTGGGATGCAACCAATGCCTACAAGTTTTCTTCCATAATGATTATGGTGTGTCCTTTGGTGCATGCTGATCCTTTTTCAATTTTTTTTTTTTTTTATTTTTGACTTGTTAATTGTTATGAGTAGGTTAGTGTTGATGGATCAGTTGAGGCATTTTGATTTTTATATCTTCTAATTGCTTTGTCTGTACTGCGTGCAATACAGTTACTTGTGTCCAGTTTAATCCAGTGGATGAAAATTACTTCATCAGTGGTTCCATAGATGGGAAAGTACGCATCTGGGCAATTCCTGGTTGTCGAGTTGTTGACTGGACCGATATAACTGAAATAGTCACAGCTGTGTGTTATCGTCCTGATGGAAAGGTTTGGGGATGTCCTCTTTTTTGTACTTCTCAATGTGAGTCACGTATCAGAAATTGCACGAAATTCTTAGTGCACCATCTCTTTTTATGCAGGGTGGAATTGTTGGCTCCATGACTGGAAATTGCCGGTTTTATGATGCACCGGGTATGTTTTTTTCGTATTCCAATGTTTCTCATACACAAAAAATTAGAGTGTGTTACAGTGCCTAGCACGGTTGACATTTTCAAGTGTAAAGAAGATTTCTGCTGTTGCAGTCATTGTTGCAGTGCAGGAGTACTGTGCTGTAGTTTGCTGCTCTTGCATTGTCAGTCATAAAATAAGTGTTCTGTTTCTACACTGATAAAGTAATGTGTTAAATGTATCCCAGTCACCTTTTTGCTTGGGTAATTGGTTTGCCTCTTACTTTTGGAAATTGAAAGAAGACTTTAATAGAATGCATCAATTTAACTTTTGTGACGTAGCATTATGGATTTTTCATACTGTCATGCTTGATGCATTTCCTGAGTTTAGAACAAAGTCTTGTGCTTTCAATAGGTATTTCCTCGTATTTTCATTCGGTAGGATTCCGTCATGCGTCACTACTGGTAGTGGTTTCCTCTGCTTTCTTTTGGTCTGATATGGATTTCCTTTGCAAGAGACAGATCCTTGTGAATCTATTGACACTCATTGTTGAAGTACCGCGGGAATACTTGAGCTATTCTTTTGGTGTAACCTTTTTGTTTTTTGTTTTTTTGCTTTTTCTAATCGCTAATCAGATAGCTTTTTATCGTCTTCCTCACATCACACGCTGGATTTGTGGTACTTAACCTAGGGGTGAATATAGTTCTAGTTGCAGATTTCCAAACCTCAGTTAATGTCTATGAAACCCATTGTAGATGCACGTTTCAAATTTGATTTTTATGCCATACTATGATGCAGGAGGGTTGCTTTGGTGCTAACTGCTGTATTTTGCATGGATCAGATAATCATCTGCAACAGTATGCACAGATATGCTTGCAGGGTAAGAAGAAATCACCATTCAAGAGGATAACTGGCTTTCAGGTGATGAATTTATATCTGCTAATTTTCCTTTTTGATATCATTGCATGTTTGTGGACTTCTGCAAAATGTATAATGTTAGCATTTCTTATCTGCAGTTTTCTCCAAGTGACCCTACCAGGTTAATGGTCACTTCTGCTGATTCACAAGTCCGAATACTCCATGGAGTTGATGTGATATGCAAATATCGAGGTGTGCACAGTTTAGTTTTAATTTTTATTAGGTGGAGTTGGTAATTATGGTGATGATACATTCAATTTTTAGAAAGAGCTACTTCCCTCAAATCTAGTTGTGTATGCAGGCCTCCGTAATACAGGAAGCCAAATATCTGCATCATTCACCTTAGATGGGATGCATATTGTTTCAGCAAGTGAGGATTCTAATGTCTATATCTGGAACAATATTAGCCAGGATGGGCCTGTGGCTCGGGTGAAAAGTAAATGGTCTTGTGAGCGTTTCTTCTCCAGTAATGTGTCAGTCGCTATACCTTGGTGTGGGATGACTTCTGGGAATTCTATTTCCCCAAATGTCACTGGAAATTCCCCATCCTCTATTAACTTAGGGCAGTGTAGTGAAAAAAGTGTATTTCTGCAATCTGAGTTGGTTGAGAGTTCACAATGCAAATTGCCATTCTCTTCACGTGATGATTTCTCACTGAGCCACGGATTGTTCACTCACTCTTTGCCTAAGGGTTCTGCAACATGGCCAGAGGAAAATCTTCCTGCAAGCTCATTGGTTGGATCATCTGCAATGTGTAAATCACAGTACAAGTTTTTGAAAATGTCATGCCAGAGCATGCATGGTTCTCCTCATGCATGGGGTTTGGTGATTGTAACAGCTGGATGGGATGGACGAATCAGATTGTTCCAGAATTATGGATTACCAGTTCGCCTTTAAATAGAGGTTCAGCACGTTTTCGGAAGAATATAGGTTGAAACATCTGCAGCTGACTTCAGCAAAACATGAGATTACATGTGATTGTAAGCAGTCTTGTCAGCTGAGGTGTGGAGCGAACACAAGTGGTTTGAGTGATCTCCCCGAAGTGCATAAGCTTGGCATGCATCCATAGCTGCAGAACGTCCTGATCTGTCTACTATACGTGCCCCAGTATTGGTTAAGATGCGAAAGCAATCTCGGTTATTTTTTCAGCCAACCAAGATTACTTGGTATGTTACAATCGAATCTAATCTCAGCAACTGTCAACAATTTTTCTGTTATACTGGATCAGGTTTCTCTGGTTTTGTCATCCAGCGTATATATCATTCTTTAATTTATTTAATTAGCAGCATGGTGGCTGCTTACGCAATTAGAACTGTAGAGTGGTGTGAAGGAGGGCCAAGTTTATTAAGTGGGGTATAATTAAGGAAGGCTTTGTTGCGTCTTTTGGAGTTTCGTTTTCTAAAGAGGCGAGGACAAATCAACACTGATGGCTGGGAGTTGCCTATGAAGACTAGTGGGGATCCTTGCCTTTTTTATGATTTGTTGGGTGGTTGCATGATTGGTTTCTTTGCCTGCGTAGTGGTGCATTAACCGTTTTGGACCTTTCTGTTGGGCCCCTGACATTTTGTAGGGGATCGAAGACACCTCATATGAGTTCATCAGTCTCTTTCCATGATAGCGCCAAGTTTGGAAATCTGATTGACTCCATCGCACCCGAGTTGAAAGGCCCCTGACATTTTGTAGGGGATCGGTAGCTGCTGGAAAATTGCTATTGAACGCCTTTAAGCCCTGGCGGTAACGATTTTAGGCCCTAATTTCACGAGCTTCCATTTATTTTTTGGTTGCCTTTAGGAGCTTTTGCATTGCAAAGGTTCATGGCAATAAAACAAATATACATATTGCCGCCTCATTGTAAGTGTAATATACTCCTGAAGACTGCCTTGTTTAATTGTGAATTACAGATTTGCCTTCTTGCTATACCACGCAGCACTAAGTTGTTCTTCTTGCAGTACTGCACAGCACTAAGGTATTCGTAACGCAGCTGTCGTTTTGCTAGACTTTTTTTTACAAATGCAGGGAGAATCTTAATGATAACTTGCAAGTAGATATGAAAAAAATTAAAATTTATTTGCATTATAGATTGAACAATGTGCCATTATAATACTCGGTATCCACTAAAATTAAAATTTAATAAAATTAAATATTAAAAACATATGAAAAAAGTTTTAAAAGTATGAATTAATCCAAAGAGGTTTGAAAGAATATTCAGAGTAGTTAAAATAATTCTTTTATGCCCAACGAATATTTTATTGATTTTACGATGCATGAATAGTAGCTTTTATGTGAAATAATTATTTTGAGCATATTGTATGTGCATGAAAAATGTTTTTTTTTGCTTATAATATTTGTTAAAGGGGTGTCAAATTAGTTTATATGATTGGGTGAATTTTTCAATGTGTTGTGAATATTTTATTTGAATTTTTATGTATAGGAATAGTGTTTTAGAGGTAGAATAATTAAGTTAGGCACTTAAAAAGTATGAGAAATTTTTTTAAAGGACATAGAAAAATCATTTAGGATGTGTAGCAGTATCTAATAAATTTAAATTAGTTTTTCCCTATATAAGGAATATTTTCTATTGAAAATAGTGTAATTTTTACACTAAATAATTAATTAGGAGGCTTAAATAAGAGTATAAAAATTATATAAATCATGATTAAATTATTTTAGAAAGTTTTTAAATTTATTATAAAGAGAATTGGGATTTTGGAAAGGTATAGAATGCAATTTTGGATTTAGGGACTTAATTGCATAAAATTAAAAGTTTAAATTTTAAAATTAAATTATGTAGGAATTTTAAGTGTCAAAAAGTGGTTCTAAAACTGGAAAGGAAGGTTTAAAATGATTATTTAAACAAAAGAAAGATTTAGAAAAGAATAGATCATGGAAAACTCAAGCGATTTGAAGGACCAAAATTAATTATTTCCCCCTATATTTTGACGACTTAGAGCCACAATTGAGTCTGACTTGCAATAACAATTGTGGCTGAAATCAAGCAAGATTGAAGGCTTTTTGTCTATAAACAGGGGTGTTAGAAAATTAAAAATGCTAAGAAAATAGAAAAACACGAGAAATTCTTGCAAAAATTCCACCTAAAATCCACCCAAAATATTCCTAACTAATTTTAGACACTTCAAATCAGTACAATAAGCTTCAATTTCAAGTTGAGAGCCAAAGATTTCTAAGGAGAAAATTTAGGGAATTAATCCAAATTTAGGAGCAAAAGAAGGAGGAAGAGAATTCTCAAGCAATCTAGCTTTCCAAGGTTAAATTGGAGCTTAATCAAGTAATTTAACTTCACCAACATCACAAAAAAAATTTAATTTTATTTCAATTTTATGTTTAATTGCCTTAATTTTAATTAATTGCATAATGTGTGAAAAAATTAAGATTAGGGTTCTTGATGAACAAAAATTAGGAGAAATGAAAGTAAACCTATTATTCATGAAATTGAGAATCAAATAGGTTGATTAGGCTTGAAATTGAGATTTAAAACTTGCAAATGCCTAAGGTTTCTAAGGGGTACCATTCGGCCTAACTATCCAATTTGGGAGTTTTTGATTCATCCATGTAATTGATGTTCTAGCACTTGAATTAGTATTTAGGAATGAAAATTTTTACGTTAATTGAGGAAAAATGCAAAAAATACCAAGGGTTATATTCGGCCTAATTAGGAATGTTTAGGGTTTGAGTTTCTAGCATCCAAATTATGGTTTGATGATCAATTTACACTTGAATGAGTATGGTTTGATGTGTAGAAATGAAAATTTTAAAGAAAATTGATTAAACGGACTTAGGCCCCATTTTGGGCCATTAAAGCCCAATTCGGGTTTTAGCATGAAATTACATCTTGAATGTTAATTAAATTGATTCATATGCTTAATGTATGTTTAGGCCATTTAGTATTAAAATGATAGGATAAATAAGAAGAAAATCTTAGGGTTTGAATTTGGAGAATATTCGACCTAAAGAGGAAAAACTTACGAGTTTAGTTCTAAATGGCCTTTTCTCCTTAAAATGATCAAATTGGAATTAGAATAGCATAATAAGATTGATGAGAATGTAAAAATTTAGTAGGTACCAAGAATGGGTCTAAAATGGAAAAGTTGTAAATTGGGCCCAATAGGAAAATAATACTCATGATCAATTAAATAACATATAATCAGATTAATTTAATTAAGTTGGAATATAATGAGTGTAAATTGGAGGTTGAAAATAAAAAGGAAATGATTAGCTAACAATAGGGTAAAATTCAGCCTAAAAAAGAAAATATAGAACATTGGTTGGTATTGTGTAATTTTATTGCACAACGGTGTTTCTTGATTATTGTTTAATGTGTTTGATGTGTAAGTGTTATATGTGATGTAATGTGGGTGATGGTGATGCCATGTTGTTTGAATGGTTTTGTATGGAATGTGATGGTTGATAAGGTTTATACGAGGTAATATTAATAACACCATTGCATTTTCATTTTATACATTTTCATGACATGGTCACATGATCAATTATGGCATGCATTTTATGATGCCGCATTAATCATGCCTTTTCATCTAAAATGCATATGTATGCCAAGGTTCTTGAAAAATATTTTAAAGTCACGAAAACGTGTTTTATGTCATGATTTTTTGATAGCGATCGAAAATGGTTTAAAGGAAATGGTTCTTCATGATCAAGGATTTCATAAGGAAAGGATTTCATGGGTTTTTTCATATGGTAATAGTAATGGTTCAAGATTGAGCAAGTGTAGACATGCACTTTTAGAGGCTCGGTAGGACACGTTCGTGGACGAGTCCGGTTCGCTAAACATATGTTATAAAAACTCGAAGTACCTAAATGGGATATGTCCAAAAACAAAAAAAAAAGAATTTTCAAGTTGTTTATAAAATACTTTATGAAAAGGGTTTATTATGCATTCATCGGTATTTTGTACATGCACATGCATAAATTAACTTATTGAGTTGTTGCTCACTAATATGTTTATGGTGTAGCTAATACGAGTAGAGATGTTAATGATCACTTTTGAGGCTGACTAACGTGGGAATCGTCCGACGCATGTATGTTGACTCGTGGTTGGAAGATGAATCTAATGCACACCTTGAAGTCCTAGAATTTGATATCTTAGTTTATTTTAAGTAATGTTTATGTTTTTCCATATGATAGTTAAAGCAATAAAAGAATAGATGGCCGACTAACGAGAAATGAATGTTGTCTAGATGTAACTAGTGTAGTTTCTTTAGATAATTATTTTTATGTTAGCATCACCGAATAATAAGACAATATAACTAAATAGACAATAATTAAAATAAATATAATTAACGAAAATAAATAATCAAGTAATGGATTATAATTAAATAAATTTATATAATTTAATAGAAAAAGAATATGAGAAAACCGAAAGTCACGGATTCAATTATTTTAGTTCAAAGAAATTAAATAAAATAATAAAATGTGAAAAATTTATAATACATGTTGAACCAAAATGTAGGATTTAATCACCATATATTAGACTTCCGCACTGTAATTTATACTTAGGAGTATTATGAATAAGCCACAATGTCTTGTTAGCTTGCATTCATTTCACTTCGAATATAGGTTAACAATAATAATATTCTCACTCTATTAGGTCTTAGATTGGAGGTGTTACAACTATAGTGTTCACTAGTCAACTTTTCACAGAATGCTAGAGGCTAAATAAAATATATTTATTTCAATTTGATAGTTTATACTATACGAGTAGGTCAATTAAAATATATAAAACTAAAAGTAAAAAAAAATCATTTAATTTTATAATTTTTAATCAAAATTTTATAATTATTTATTTATTTATTTTTATTTTTTTCATAAATCTTATAGTTAAAAAGAAACATGATTTATTCTTCATTGTGCATTTATTCTTT